GTTGTTGCAGCATTAAGGGGGGAGTTCTCAGCAGACTCGGCTCCAGTCCCTGATGACAAGACAGGGCAGGGGGAATTAAATCCCTCTGCCAGTTCAGCCTGGACTGGCCACCCGCCTCCCCCCCACAGCTCCTCTGCAGCCAAGGGTATGCACTAGCACCCCAGGCTCCTGGCCTGAGTAACTGCAGGCATGTGCCCACATTTTCTCAGTCCAGGGGGAATGTCTGTACTGTTATAAACTGGTTCAACCTAGGCAGGTTAAACTAACCTGCAAAAGTTGAATCAATTCAGGCTCTGGCTCTTTGAATGTCTGTCCCTAGCATAGGCAACTGGTAGGGGGTGCATGGGGGTGCACATGCCCCCCCAATGGGGCCAGTGCCCTGCCTGATAGCTGATACCAACGCTGTTGGCAGGGCTGGTGCCCCCCTAACAGGGCCACCACTGTTGGTGGCTTCTGCAGGTGTCCCCCCAGATTCAGAAGGCACCAGTCACTCATGGTCCCTAGCCTTTGTGGTTGGATGAATGCCCCTAAGTGCAAAGGACAGATGAAAAAGAAGTGCACTAGGTTTAAGGAAAGGCATGGGAGGGTGGTGAGATGCCCTACATTTTGGAATGTATGTGGAGACTTTGAGGGAAAGATTTTCAATCAACACAAGAGCCAGTTTATTCACTGACAATCACAGTTTCTTATCTGGATCCCCATTTTATTCTTTTTCTTTTTAATGAAAAAGTAGACTATTATTGAGCCTGAGACCTGCCAAGCCAAAATGCAGCCCTGGCAAACTGACCACTAGATGCCAGTGGTGTTCCTTAGAAAAATATCTGGGGAAAAAGCACTATTGGCGGCAGAGATTAAATCTCATGTGATCCAGCCTGAAGCTCTCAGCCACTGCAAAGCAAAGTTCCTTATTGTGGAATAAATAGGCTTGCAGAATGATTTGTGCAGTGTACTGGAGGGGAACACATATTGCTACTGTAACAGTTTCTTGAAATCTCAGTTTTCCTTTCCCTTACCAAAGCCTAAGACTGGCTCTCAGCTTGTAGAGCAGTTGTCAGTGTTTAAGTTTCATAGAGTTAAAATACCAGTGGCTGTGGAGAGAGTGCTCTCCTGAATTTGGAGGTGTTTTTAGTTTTTTATGGGAAATGAGAGGATAGACTCTCATATTTCTCCCCAGCAACTACCATGATGGTAAAATAAAAGTGTCTTCTGGATATTTTGAAAGCAGCTGGAGACGTCTGTTTACAGCAGCTCTTATTCCTTCTCCATCTTTGCAAAACAGACTTTGAAAAACAAAACCCCTGTTGGCTGGGATCTGGAAATGCATTCCAATTTACTACTGTTCAGTTTTGCTGCCTAAACAATACCTGACATTATGTATATTATTTTAATGGTGCTATGATCACAACAACATAGTTCTTGAGATGGCTACGAACCACCCTTTCTGCCTTATGAGGGAAGTGCACACAGACACACACATATGCATGTTTATGCACACTGTAGCAGAGACTCCTAATCCCTGCTACTTGAGAGGTAGGAAGCCAGGAAAGTTGCAGGTGGGTAGGCAGCTGAAGGAGTCAGCTGCAGAGTAAGCAAGCAGCAAGGGAGATATACCAAGATTTAAAGAGCAGCAGGGGAGAGGGCAGTGGCTGCAGCTCAGGGTTTAAGCTGCCACATGTAAGGGCTGGCTTAGTGCTGGAATAATTAGAAACCTATAGCTGGTAAGAAGGCCAGGTGACTCAAAAGGGGTGGAGCCCTGCATACTAAAAGCCTGGCTTCTCAACCAGAGATCTCAGTCTGTTCCTGACTCCTTCTGTGAGCAGGTTATGTGGTGCAAACTGTGTAACAGGTTTTTAGTGTGCTTTGATCTGCCAAGTAAACCACAGGGGCCACTTGGCAGAGTGTTGGAGGTAAAGTTATATATATATATACACACACGCAGTAAAAGCTCTGTTATCCGGCATCCCCCAGGAATAGGGGATGTTGGATAACAAAATATGCCGGTCAGTTTAGCGGCCCGAACAGGCACCCTTGCCTGCTCAGGCCACTGCTTCTCCTGCCATGTCCGGGGCATTGCCGCCCCTCCCACAGCATTGCCTACCCTCCTGCGGGCCCTGTGGGCCCCACGGGACAGGGAGGTGGGCCCTGCACAGCCTGTTATGCCACCAAGCCATGGGGGCTTGGCAGCACAGGCTGCTTTGCCCCAGGCCGTTGGGGCTCAGTGAAACCGGAAGCGTCACGGTGGGCACTTCCGGTTATATTTTACTTTACAAGCCGGCATGCCAGTTTATAGAGTATGCTGGCTTGTAAGGTGCCACTTAATGGAACTTTTACTGTGTGTGTGCGTGTGTGTGTGTGTGTGTGTGTGTGTGTGTGTGTGTGTATTTATTTATTTATTTATTTATTTATTTATACATAAATCTCCCTGCGGGGCTCTGACCTCTCTGAATACCATAGGGATCCGACCCCTCTGGCCCTCATTGCCTTCAGGGCTAAAATCATGGCCTCCACCCTCCCCTATAGCCGTGTCCATACCTCACAATTGTTATTCTGTCAATAATTGCTTTCTCCTGTAGGACTCAGTCCTGGCTTAGTTGTTCTGAAGCCAGATTTGGCAGGCAGAATCAGCCAGGCCAGGCCCATTCCCCACCCCTCTCCTAGCCCAGCAGTGACTGCCCTGCCTGCCCCAGCTCCCAGCACTTGGGGGAAAAAAAGACCCAGCTCAGCAGGTGCTGCCGGGCAGGGGGCGATCCCTGCTGCCCCACACTGCCCCACGCTGCATGGGGGGCTCTGCACAAGCCCCCAAACCCACCTCTCTGCTCCCCCAGCACCCTCATGGGTGCCCCATACAGGCCAGCTCCGGCCCTTTAAGAAAAAAAAGGTGAAAAAACCCCAGGGCTTAGTGCTTCTGCTGGCGGGGGGGGGGATCCCCACTGCCCCACACCACATAGGGGGCTCTGCACAAGCCCCCAAAGCCCTGAAACTGCACCAGGAGCTGTGAGTCCTGGGGCTTTTCTCAGCTTTTTTTTTATAAAGGGCCAGAGCCCTGGTAGGTGGGGCAGCCATTGTGGGGCTGGGGGAGCAGCAGCGGGGTTGAGGGGACTTGTGCAAAGCCCCCCATGCAGCATGGGGCAGTGGGGGGCACAGGGGATTGCTCCCCTGCCCAGCAGCACCCAGTGAGCACCAGGGCTTTATTTTGAAGTACTGGGAGCTGTGGTGGGCAGGAGCAGCCATGGCGGGGCTGGGGGAGCAGGCAGTGGTCGGGGGG